ATGCTACTTCTACCAACAAGATAGTCAATTATATTTTCAATATAATGAATCTCTTAACAAATCTCACTTTCTAACAACATACAATACATCTGAACAAGGCCAAATACAACTACAAACTTCTCAACTACCTCTACCTCCTAATTCAAACTTTATCAATATACCAAACTCTAAAAGGAAAAAAAGAAAAACGACCTAAAGAAAAGAACTATAAGAGAAAAACAAACTACAGAATAGATAAGAATATAAAAAATTATAATATTGGTTTTAAAATAGCATTAAATAGTATAACTAGAGAAGTAAAGAAAAAAATCTCAAATAGTTGAATTTTAGGTTAGTTATGATGAGCTGTAGTATCCTTTCTATACTAAGTTGTAGTCTATAGATTATAAACTACTTGAGTATAAAACAAAAGTTATTATGACAAATCACACATAAGTATCTATAAAATAACCAGATAAGTTAAGATTTAAAAAATTAGATATTAGATAGTATAAAACTAAATAATATTGTTTTTTTTTAATGAAAAACAAATCTAAATAAAATTATGACATAACTGCTAAATTTTAAAAAAAAAATAAAGATATTTTAAGTTTGAGACAATTGAAAAACCCATAAATAACTTCCAAATATCACATTTATTTATCTCCAATTACCTCTCCTCTGATAATCAAGAAACCACTACTATAAGTCAAGTACATCATCTCTTAACTTATTAGAAACCAGAACTAAGATAAACTTAACACATGACTAGAAATATTGAACTTGAACAATCCGATAATATCTCTAAAACCCAAACCAAATCTTTCACACCTTGATTATCACCTTCCAATTAGTTGAATTTGAGTTGACTGATTAGCCCCAGATAAGTTTCGGTCTAAAACTGATTTAGACCCTTACAATATGCAACTACATTTTTTTCAAAGGTTGTCTTAAAACTATAAACCAGGGTCTAATACAGTAATGGTAACTGGTAATATAAAATACCTGAAAAAAAACTTATAAAATACCCAGAGTATTTTAACAGCCCTAGCGTTACCAATCTAAAAAATTTCGCTATCTGGTCGAATTAAAATTCAAGATCAGGTGTAACATAAAATCAAAACAAAATAAACCAAAACCCTAACCCTAATGCCAGTAGCGAAATTTTTTTAGGTTGGTAACGCTAGGGTGCTAGAGTATTTTGACCGTTACTGGGCCAAAATTTTGGAATTTTACCAGAATTACATAATTTTTAATCTAACTATCATATAAAAAAAAGGATAAATGTATACGTCGCATACTGCGATGTGTTTATACATCGCATATATTTACAAATTATAGTTTAACAACTAAAATAATCTAGTTTTTTGTTTAGTTAGAGTTAGAGTTATGTATGATTAGATTGCAATAAATAGAAAGGATTTATAGTAAAAATTTTCAAGGAATTTTTTTTTTAGAGTACAAAAGATAGTTTCATATGTGAAATTTTGACTTTTGTCAAAACGAACGTTTGAATCTTCCTGATCGTGCTACGTTACACCTGATCTAAAAATTTGATTGGTCAATCATTAATATGCGATGTATAAGCACATCGCGAGGTTGCGACGCCTAATTAAGTCCTAAAAAAAAATCGTAGAAAATGCACCCCAAAATTTTTTGTAAATTTCATATTAAAATTTCCGGGTTAGGGCCAGGGCCTACCGTTACCTGTATTTTTCTTTTTTTCTTTCATCGTGTTAGTCAAAATTGCAAAATTTGATTGGTCGAATTGGTCATTTTATAGTATATTTTATTACGATCTATTTTGGCAATTACAAATATCGCATTACGACATTTATAGCAATACAACATGTTACAACTTTGGAAACTAGTTGTAATTCGAAATGTCCATAATTTTTACATATCTTTACAGAAAATATCATGAATCGCAAGGATATAGGAGTTTGAGAACTCAAGATGTAGGAATAGATGACGATCAAACAGTTAGCGAAAACGACCAGATAGATACTACAGATGCCGAGACACCAAATTTTCGAAAACCTATCTCGATGGCAGATGATCCTAAATATGCACCACCTACGAACATTGGCGATTTTTTATCTAGGTCGAAGAAACTAATACCGTTCCTTTGGCCAGCACACGATGTAAAATTACAAGTCCTGATCGTTATTTGTATACTACTTTTGATTGCGGGCCGCGTGGTCAATGCAATGCTTCCTTATCAAAGCAAAGTGATCATAGATCGAATGACAGCTGGTGAAACAATATGGAAAGAAATATTGATTTTTGTGGGTTTAAGATTCTTACAGGGCGATGTGGGATTAATAAATACGATCCAAAGTCTTTTATGGATTCCTGTTGGGCAGGTAGCCAATTGACTGTTTTCCAGTATTATTATATTTTAATTTTTACCTTTTATTAACTTTCTTTCAAAATTAGTTTACAACAAGAGAGATTTCCGTAAAAATGTTTGAGCATTTGTTAAATCTGTCATTACGATTTCATCATAATCGTAAAACTGGTGAAATATTACGCGTCCAAGGTATACCATTAAACTTAAGCATCGACAATTTAATCTGAACTGCTCTTAGTAATTTCATTCTTGACCAATCAATGTAGATCGAGGTGTTTCTTCCATAGTTTCTATACTTTCTTCTATTCTCTTTAATATTGTTCCAACTCTTGTTGATATCGCCATTGCTATAATTTACTTTACTCTGGCATTCGACCTCTATTTTGGAATGATTGTGTTCATAACCATGTCTTTGTACATAATTAGTACTATTATTATGACTGAATGGAGGACAAAGTATAGGAGATTAACGAATCAATTAGATAATGCAATGGAAGCTAAGGCAGGTATGTTATTAATTACTTTTTATATTTACATGCATTAGTTTACAGCCAAATTATAAAATCACTACTCTAACAATTGACTAAGTACAACCTATATTATAGTCGATTCATTGTTAAATTATGAGACTGTTAAATTATATGCTGCAGAGCCTTTTGAGGGTAATTTAAATTATTTTCTTTACATTATTTATGAACATTGTACCTATTAACATTGAATTTATTTATTAGTGGATCAATATACACACGCGATCCTCGACTATCAAATGGCTGATCTAAAGTCCAACATGACTTTGTATATTCTCAATACTGCGCAGAATGTGACTATTCAATTTGGACTCTTGGCTGGGTTACTGTTATGTGCGATCCGAATTGCTAAAAATGAGATGTCGATTGGAGATTTCGTTATGTATCTTTCTTACATATTGCAACTGTATGCACCCCTTAATTGGTTTGGTAATTATTATCGTACGATTCAAAAAAATTTTGTTGATATGGAAAAGATGCTTGACCTTCTCCAAGAACCACCAGAAATTGAAGATTTACCCCAAGCTGCGCCTTTAGTTGTAAAAAAGGGAGAGGTAGTTTTCGATAACGTGTCCTTTAGTTATGATTCAAAAGTTCCAACTCTAAGGAACATTTCATTTTCTATTCCGGGCGGTTACACTGTTGCTTTGGTGGGTCCATCAGGTGGTGGTAAATCAACAATTTTGCGCTTACTTTTTCGATTTTACGACGTACAAACTGGATGTATTCTTGTTGACGGGCAAGATATTCGTCATGTTAAACAACGAGATTTGAGAAATTGCATAGGAGTTGTTCCTCAGGTATAATAGATATAATCTTTTACTGTTTCGCATATACCTTTAACCGTCTTTTAATTAGCATATAATATACATTTCATGAAACAGGACACAGTTTTATTTAACGATACGATCAAATATAATATTCGTTATGGTAAAATTGGGGCTACTGATAGACAAGTTGAAGAAGCAGCCAGTGCAGCTCAAATTCATGATAAAATATTAGGATTTCCTGAAGGGTACGAAACTAAAGTTGGAGAAAGAGGTTTGAGACTTTCGGGCGGTGAGAAACAACGAGTTGTAAGTAGTGAATTGCAGCCTTTACTTGACTTTTTACTTTGAAAAATATTGAATATTTTATCAAAATTAATTTCTTTTTTTAGGCTATCGCGAGAACTTTATTAAAGGTATTTTTACAAATTTAGTCATAAATGAATATTTCAACTTAGTATAGTGACATATTTTTTTTATTATTAGAATCCACAAATTGTTTTACTCGACGAAGCTACATCGGCGCTCGATACGCGTACTGAACGACATATTCAAAAATCCTTGCGCAGAATGACTGCTAATCGAACTACATTGATAATAGGTATTGTTTATTTATTATTATCATTTATTATTTGTTATCATTGTTTAAAATTCATAATGTATTCATTATTTTATATTTAAATCTTATGTTAGCGCATCGCCTTTCGACTATCGTTCATGCAGACCAGATCCTCGTTTTGCAAGAAGGAGAAATAGTTGAAAGAGGTAAATTTGTCTAAAATGGATATTTATTAATTAGTATATAATTCACACTAAATTTATCACAGGATCGCATCTTGAATTGATGCAAAAAGAAGGTGTCTATTATAAACTTTGGAATAAACAGTTAAAACATCATGAAAAGGTTAAAAAAGAAGCTGAAAATCTGCGTAATGCAGCCGCCGCTGATATTGTAACTGCTACTGTCAACATATCTGAAATATCAAATATCGATGTTGTCAATAAATTCACCGAAGAAAATAACAATGTTCTCGATAAATTCACCGAAGAGGAAGTTAGCTTTGCTGAAGAGGAGGGGATAGATGGTGATGATGAAAGGCATACAACTGCACATGAAAGCAGTGATGAAGAGAACAATGAAGTAAATGGTGTTTAATCAGTTTAAAGTAAACTATACGATGCCCGATCTTCTATCACTGTCTATGCCATGTGCATTTGGAATTTCTTTATAAACATTTGTTGCTTCATTTTGAACCTATTCGGTATCTTATTAGAACAATAATCCATAGATAAATTATTACAGAAAACAGAAACTGTAAATTTGAAATTTTGATAATAGAAAACATTGTAACAATTTTCGCAATAGAAACTTTAAGAAATTCAATAATTTTTTTTAATGAATCTTGTATAAAATAAAAACAAACAGGTATTACGACAAAATAGTTCAATGCATTAATTCATTCTTCTCAATTAGGATAAATGAATAAAACAAAAAATCGCTCTATTCACGATTGCAGTCTAATCTCAATATGGGGTCTTTGCCCAGGGACACGGAAAAATATCGATCTATATAGATCGATATAAATCGATAATTTTAGGCCAAATCATAGTGAAATCGATAATTTAATGCAGTGTAACATACTAAATTTGGGCAAAACTAAGTGTAATTTTGGCCGGGATTAATAAATTTGGGATTGGGCGCATAATTTTCTGATTGAACGTAAAGTTCCGAAATTGGCCAATCCGATAAATATGCAGCAGAAGTCACGTTATATCAAAAGGCGCAATATGATTGGCAGAAAAGGGAAAATTGTTATAAATTGATATTTTTGACGTTATCGATAGTGATTTTTGCTTAAGTAATATCGATATTTTTCCGGGTCCCTGTCTTTGCCTTGAAAAATCACGTTTGATCATATGATTTATTATGTCTCGTAAAGTCATAATCGTCACAAATTATTCCAAAAAAAAAAAACTATAAATTATTATAGTATATATGGGGATCTCTATAGCAAAAAGAAGCAGTGAGCAGTTAAATTTTGATCTTTAAATAGATATATCTTATGATAGATCAAATAAATTCTATATCATTAGATTCATCTCACTGAGATGAATATAATATAGAATTTATTTGATTCTGATTACTAGATCATAAGATATATCTATTTAAAGATCATAATTTAAAACTGCTCATTGCTTCTTTTTGCTGTGGAGATTCCTATATACAAAAACATAAGATAATTGATCTTTATATAAGCATTATCACCTTAATCTAGGATTGCAATTATATATATAGGTAAAATTATATGTATCTAATATACATCCTAAAAAAATAATACTATTTTGATTATATCTGATTTGAAGACAAAATTTGAAATATTTATTAGATATTATTTTACCTGTATACAAAAACATTGATATTGATCCATTTGAACTATCATTATTGATCTAAAAAAAATCTGTATAATGTTATTAACTCAGAATTTTAAAAAAAAAAATAATAATAATAATAATTATTGCTGCATTGTAATATAATATTGTTATTATATGAGCTTTTCGATTAATACTTTAAACAAAAATAAAATTACAACTATAATTTATTTATTTATAAATTTCAATATAATTGTTTTTTTACTTTACAAGCTAGTTATTTGTTTTATTCTATTTTTTCTTCTATCGAACTATGTAAACAACTTTTTCATATTTATTTCTATATTATTATCTAAATAAATATTTTTTCAAAACAAGCTTTTATAAACTCTTGTCTTTTCTAATTAGTTTGTTTTTTAGTAAAAAGATTTTCAAATACATATCGTAAAATAGCTTTAAATAAAAATAAATTAATGATTTCATTACTCTAATTTAAATTATTTATAGTTAATATTTTGTTAATTCAAAATTTTTATGATTTACTGTATTTAGATTTACCTTTTTTATAGAATTATATTTGTAGTTCCTAATTGTTACAGTTTTTCATATCTGAACTGATAGTGGTAATAGACTTAATACTAATACTTCTGCTCTAGTAGCATTTTTTTTTTTTTTTTTTTTTTTTTTTTTATAATACCAAAATAGAAACTTTATTTATTAAAAAAATAGAGTTAAGTCTATATACAATAGTTAAGATTTCTAAAATATTTATGCTACAATTAAGACACTCAATGTGACATTACACCCTCTATTTTCAAAAAAGGTTAAAATAATTATTTCAAATTAAATTTAAACTAAGGATAGATTAGGAGAAAACCTTAAGGTGTTAGTCTTGGCATTATTCAATACAAGTAGTAAGGAGAAAACCATATAAAAACCAATTTTTTGTTATATTAAAAGAATTAGATGATTTTTGTGGTTTAGTTGTTTGAAATAAGTTTGGTAAATTAGAAGTTGGAAAAGAGATTTTTTTCTTTTTTGATTTTTGAGTTATATTTCGAGCTATTTCTTATTGATATTGATAAAAGTTCTTTTGAGACCATATATCTTGATAGAACCAATCTAGTATAAAGTTTGATAATTTCATAAGAAATATTTCTGTTTAATTATATTAAGAGAGTTTTAAATCATCAAAAGTAGTTAGTAGGTAATAACCAATAGTAATATGAGATAGAAGTAAAAAAATATTATTTGAAAGGTATATTAAAGGTTTTAAAAGAATATTTATGATTTGTTGTACTAAAGATTAGGAAATTTTAAGATTAGGAAGTATATCTAAGATAATATTTTTCAAAATGTTTTTATAGTCAAGAGGATTCAATAGATATGAGAAGAGATGAAGAGTATTTTTAAGATTAGAACATCTTGCACAATTTGGTGTTGAGTAAAGATATAGGTAATGAATTGAGAGATTTTGTATTGTTGGAAGATTGTTAGTGATTATTTTAATTCTGAGTAAATATTTGTAAGAATTATATTCTAAAGAGTTAATAATAGAAAGAGTAGTAGACTATTTAGGTTTAGAGAGATTTTGAAGATATTTAAATTGTAAAAAGTTATATAATTCTTCAGAAGTTATAGTATTTTTAACAAAAGTACAGAGTTTAAAAGGGATAGGATATTGGTGTTATTAGAAGAATATTAGAGGATTTAGTTTAGTAATATCAATTGATATTATTGATTTGTAAGCTTCTTGTTTAGCCAGTAAGTCAGCTTGATTATAGTAGAAATTTTTTGAGTGAGATTTAATTTTTTGAGTAGTTATTTAGAGATGTTTTTTTGAGATGATTTGGTTTATAATAAACATTATATCCTAATTTTTCTTTTGAATAGTAGTAATATTTGTTAAAGCTTTTAAGTAGTT